CTTAACTTTCCTGCAGCCCCCCAAAGACTGCCAGTGTCTTGATGCTCTCTTGCTTCTCTTCTATGAGGAGTAACCAACAATACATTGAATGTCATAAAGAAATGCAACCTAAATCTTTTGATAGATCTGTTTCTTGCTAGCATACCATTCACATCTAATTTATTCCTATTCAGGCTAAAGTATTTACCATATCATTTTTTTCTCATATCACTTTCTTCAGTTCATGTACTTCTGACAGTTATCTAGCAAATGAAACGATGATGGTATAATGATGTTTACAACTGGTGTAAAAATAACCTTGCATGCTAAAAGCTTGGGCAGCAAAGTGTGTAGTAGTTGAATACATGCAGTCAGAACTTCTAAATCAATTCATAGTGACCTAATTGTGAGAAAGCTAGGCACATGTCTAATTATTTGCAAAATTCAGGCATCTGTCTGTGAGTTGCTGTGTGTAGCAGCAGCTCCCAAATAGCTTACATGTAGACCATTGGTCAGAGTGGGAAAAAAAAAAAATCCAAATGTGGATTATCTGTAGATTTTGATACACCTCTTCCTTTTTTTTTTTTTTTTCCCCTCCTGTTATTTTCCATTCTGAGTCTATCTCTTTTTCATCTCCTCTCCTCCTCTTTCCTGTCTTTTTCCTCTTTTCATCTGTTGCAGCAAATCACAAACAGGCTGTAGTTTACACAGCCTGCAAATTGGTTTGGTATCACTGGGCATCCTACTTCAGAATTACTTGAGAGTCTGAGGAAGGCAATGAGGAAGGCAGTTCAGCTTTTGCATGAAGAATTGCCCTGAAGTCTATGTCCAACTTAGTTGTCTAAAGGAATTGAAGGTGCTTGGAGTTTAATTGGCAGTTAGGCTAAATTGGAAGCTACAGATAAGAGGTGGAGAGTGCAATGGAATGGATTAGGCAAAGAAAAAAGTGAAGAATGCTTGTTGTATAACATAAGGGAGACCTGAGTTGGTTCCTAACTTGATTATTTTTTGTGTGACTTGAGGGAAGTCAGTTTTTCATGAGTGAGAAACTGGCATGGGGAAATGTTTCTTCTGCAGCCACCTTTTATGCATGTATTTTTCTGATTCTTCAGGACAGGGTTTTCACTGTATAGCATTTACCCCAGTGACAATGCAGTAGAAGGCTGATATTTCTTTTTGAAGCCAGACAATCTGGACCTGCTGATGGTCTAAAAACCGGAAAGACACCTACCTCCCACTTCATGGCAGCCTCCAGTCAGACTGTCATTTCCATCTCCTCACTCCTTTCCTCCTTTGTTTCTCTAGTAGATTTAATGGGAGTTGAACGTGACCAACTTGAAACAGATGACATGGATGAAGGAATCACAAAGCACAAACAGGTTTGCTGCTCAGCCCTAATTTCCTATTCTGATTCAGATTCTTCCTGTGCTTCACTTCCTCCTGACAGTCAGTCTTGATGCTGAGCTGATGGCTGGGATTTGCTAAGTCCTTTGGTAAATGGTGAGAGGTAATGACACTGTTGCTGTCATGGGTTATTAAAGGGACCTTGATACAAACTGAGAAAAGATCTATCAGTCATGTCGAAGGGTGGATTGCATTGAGAGCTGCCTGTATTATCAGAGTTGATTATATTAAATCACAGCAATGGCTTCTTTTGTATGTTTCTACTTAACAGTGTGTTTTTTAATAGTTATGCACTTGGCTTGAAATATTTTGTCTAGGAAATGGAGCTTTCTTGTTTCTTCAGGTGCCACTGTGTTCTGCCACAAGCTTGAATGAGTTTGCATACCTATTTCATTTTAAGTAGTCTCTTTAAAGAAGTGTAAAGTAGGACTGTGACCACAGAAGTCTGGGCAATGTGTATGGCTGTATGGTTCTGTGTGAAGTTTCCTTGTTGCATTTGCTCTGTTGAACATAACGTGTGTCATTAAGATACAGGTAACTTAGGACTGAGTGTACCAGCACCGTCCATCAAAGAGGCGGCTAAGAACTCCTCATGTAATGTCAAATCTTTGCTGTGGTGCCTTCAAATAAATTTTAACCAGTTACATGCTTCAGTATGGGTTGATTTGAATCTGAACCAGTCCTTGACTTTTCTTCAAAAAGCAACAACATTTCCTTTACCTTTTGTAGCTTTTGGATGGTTTTATCGGTATGAAGGAAAATTTCCCACAATCCGCAAGGTACAAAGTTTGATATGTTTGTTTGCTGTGCATTTGAATTTTCATTGATGGGGTTTTTTCTTCTCTATAATTACAAGACATTCTTTAACAGTCAAACACTTCTTTTAATGTGTGTACAAGTTAAGATGAATTTGACATACATCTGCCAGGGAGTTGGTTCTTCTGAATGCTTTGGACTTTTCAAGTTCTGCCAGCTGCAGTGAGAACTGTATGTCAATACTTTGCAGAAGTTGTTCAGTACAGGTGGTCAGTGTTTGTCTCTGTTCTTCAGAAGGCATCAGAATAATGTGTAAAAACAGTACAGAGACAAAAATTGAACAAGAACCAAGTATGTAGTTCTAGTTACATGTTTGCAGATTTTCCAGGAAGAGTGTGGAAAGCAAAAGGCTTTTAGGCATGTACCTCACAGAGACTAAGAAAAAAAGCTTGATAGAATGCTTCTGTATCTGTAGTGTTGCTGCTAAACTATTGCAATTTCAAATTATTAGAATTTCAGATAATATTTTATTCCGGCTGTTGCTTTTTTGTCCTTATTTCTTTCAATATACAGTAGCCATATTATTTAAGGGTTCTGTGGTTGTGTTGTGTGCGTTGGTATTTTTGGGTTTGTTTTTCTTTTGGTGGTGGCTGATGGTAATTAACTGGGGTAGAAGTGTCAAGAAGATTTTGTAAGTCTATCTTCTGAGAACTCAAGGTTTCTGAAGAGGTTGAGATTGTATCTGAGAGATTAAGTGTTTGTGTCACCATTTACAACTATTGGTTTAACCTTCTGTGTAGACAGAAAATGCCAGTTGTCCTTAATAAAGAATAGGAAATGATGATACCCTCAGATACTATTTTGTACTGCTAGTGGCTGTAAATAATCACAGGTCTGTAACTTGTGTGAAAACCAATACAGTTAGGATTTCTATCTGCAAACTATAAATGCTACATAAACTCAGTCTGTTCACACAAATAGGTGAACATCTGTATTGACACTGACAGTCTACAGAGGATCCAAGTACCTTTTCATCTGGTAAAAAAGATCTTAACCCAGATCCTGTTGGACTCTACTACACTATTTTGACTAGAAGCTTTAAAAAAATATATATTTCTAATCATTTACATTTTAGATATCTTTTTAGATCTGGATATGCTGAATTTTTTTTCTACTCCAAATTGCTGATTTTTTTACTTGGTTTTAAAAAAGAAAATTTCCCTCTGTAGTAAAAGTGTCTATAGTAGGAAGTAAAATAAATCCATTGGGAAAATGGACAGAAAAGATGATTCATCCTGTGTTGGAGTGCAATGAATGCAGCTCAGATTGTCTGATTATATGTTCTTACTCTACAACGCATTGGCATGTCTACTGCTTCGTGTTCCTTTAAACTCAGTAATTTTTTTCAAACATATAACACCTGGCAAGTCAACCATCTAGGTATTAATTAGCAGACAGTACTAAATATATTTTCTCATTTATTAGAGGATAAAATATTAGCAATTTTTACTAACATGGGAACTAATTATCCCTGAAGAAAACATGCCAACAGAAATATGTTTATATTAAAACTTTACTGTGAAAAGCTAGATTTTTTTTTTTATATTTGTCTCCAACAATTATTTGGTTGGTGTTTTTTTTTTTTTCCTCAACAATAGCACGACATAACCATGAAGCAACAAACATCACCACACTCAACTCAGCAGTAAAACAGGCCATTTAACTACTTGACTGGAAGAATTGACTTTTATAGCTGCCAGGGAAAAATTTATTTTTTCCAAGGCTTTATTATCAGTATCACATGGAGAAAATGAAAGGAATAAAAATAGTGCCCATTAATGAAGCATGCTCATGTTTTGAATTCTCAAAACCACCATGAAAAGTCATAGCTGATGATAATGAGCAGAGTAAAATCAAATGCAAAGTGCAGCCTCTCTGGGCACTGACAGTAATTGATGGTGAGTGGCCAGCTGCTCCTCCTTTTCACTTTGTTATAAATAAAAGGAGACCGTGGGCTTTCTGATGTTAACTAGGCCATAGCAGTACAAAAGGGAGAAGGCAGCAGAAATGGGACATTATTAAAGTAGAAATAAGGAGTAGAGTGCATTTTGAAGGCAGCCAGAACAGAGGCTCCAAAAAGAACATTTAGTTTTTCCCCTTTGGTTGCATTCTACATGTAAACTTTTGGAGTTACTTTTTGTTCTATTAGTTCACTCATGTGAGTAGATTTTATTAGGTGATTGTAGGAGCTAGTTGGTCTTTGTGATGCAGTGCATCTTAGAGCAGTTTGGTTTCTGCACTGATCTAGGTCTTCCCTGTGTAATTGCTCATTTCAGCTGTGTTAAGGCATGCAATACTGGTTTGAGGACATGTGCATGAAGATGTTTTATGTAGAGAATATTCACATTTACCTGTACATGAGCATCTGTCATCTGAAAGCAGTCGGTCTTGTGTGTATATGAAAATGCCAGAACAGAGAGATGGCAAATCAAGACATAACCAAAGCTGTCTGAATATTCAAAGCTTTGCAGTGGGCCTGTGGACCTAAAGGTTGTAACTTTGCAGAGGAGCAGAAGAGTTGACCTGTCTGGCCTTATCCAACTTAAGTTAATGTGTGCAGGCCCTCCTAATAAGGCTGAATTTCCTGCAGGTTGCTGGGGAAATGGACTTAGATTTTCTTTTAAAAGACCATCCACATACTTACACAGACTGGAATTAAATTTTCAAGGCAGGCACTCATGTACTGAGCTTGAAGTTTGTGGTGTTTTTAGCTGAAGTAAAAATCTGTGTAACTAAAAGAAAAACAAAACCACCAAAACTTCCCAGAAAGGGAAGGAGCGAAAGAAGTCAAAAAGTGACAGCCTGTGTGAACAGAAGAAGAACAAAAAGGAAATGGAGTTTGAGCAAAAACTTGCCAAAGAGAAAGAAGGAATGTTGGAGAAAGAAAAACAGCTGAAAATAAATCGTCTTGTGCAAGAGGTATGTTGTGTTCTCCTATCAAGTGCCCAATTATTGAAAGAAAATGAGCGGAATTTTTAGTGGAATTATCTTAGAAGGACATTTGTTTAATTATATCAAAGAAAACAAAGTTTAAAAAGTAACTTTCCCTGCAAAACTGCTCCCGCATTTTCTCGTTTCTGTACAGTTTTTGCCCAAATTAGAATACCTCTGCATATAATGAGCATTCATCCGTAGTGATGAATTTAATGAAAGACAGCAAATAGGAAGTCATTCTCAAAAGCATTATTAGTTTAAAACCTAGTTAAAATACTTTTGAAACATATTTGTATTGTAATATGCTCTGATGTTATGGTCAAGGTATCTGAGACAGAACGAGAAGACCTGGAAGAATCAGAAAAGGTGCAGCACTGGGTGGAAAGACTTTGTCAGACACGGTTAGAACAGATTTCCTCTGTGGAGAATGAATCTCCTGAGGTAAAATTCTGGTTTCTCCATATATTGCATGATCGCTAAATAACTCATTAGTTTTCTCCTAAATGCAACAGGTTTTTACAAGAGAAAAATATCTCTTAGACTCATTCTAGAAAGGCAAAAAAAAAAGTAAATTTTGAATTATGATCTATAGCATTTGCTGTTCCTATGTTTTATTGAGATTTTTAAATTAATGAACTGATTTAATTATCACTAGAAAATTAACAATTTTATTGGCTCATGAGCTGTTTGGTCTAGGTAAGATGTGCTACCAATAAAAAAACTGAGACTAGAATACCCAACTGTTTGGTATCTTGTGGAAATAAAAACATCGTTGATGATGAGCTCTCAGATGCTTCCTTGTATTGCATGCAATAAAGGAACAGGTTAAGAAAATAACAAAGATAAGAAGCTCCCAAAGAACAGGGTTTGATTTGGTGTTTTAAATAGTCCCCTTAAACAAAGGGAGTGGCAAATAGTGATTGTGGTTTAGAGTGATGGTTCTATATGTGCTGTGAGGCTTTCCCACCATCCTGCTGCTCTGGCTGTCTTCCAAGCACAGCTGCTTTCAAGAGGAACACTGCAGTCTGTTAAACTCCCCTGGGATCCCCAAGAAATTGCAACCACAAAGGGGACCCTTGGGGAACACTCTCGCATGAATTGCCTTCAGGTCAATCTGGAGCAGCTATGAAAAAAGCAGCTGGTCTTCTCCTTTTCCTGGCCTCGGGCTGACATCCATGGGGCTCTTCAGTGCAGGCCGCTGGAACAGTGGAATCACTATGTTGAGTTTTTTCTCATTACCTGAATTTGTCTCCCTGTGTTCTTCTAGATCTTTGTGCCCCTTGCTTTGTAAAGTGAGAGGAACAAACAAATTAAAATCACCGTTCCATTTCCAGAGCTCTGCTGTTACCTAAGACAAGCATTCTGTGTTGTATTTTCTCCGGCATTTCTTCTATTACATTATATATAAATATTCTATTACGTTTCTTCCATAAAACTACCCAGGCAGTTAAATTCATGTAAAACACAAATCCAGAAGATTTCTGAGGATAAATGCAGCTGAACAATATTCAGGTACTACAGGACTGAACTGCTACTTGAGTGTGAGAGCTGTCAAGATCTCTTAACCTGTGCCAAAGAAATACCTATTTTTTAGTACCAAGGGGTGAATGTGACAGATATGGAGATCCCCAAGCATGTCAACAGAGATACCCACTTGAGGGAAGTATTGACATATTAGACTAAGATGCCTGTGCCTGTAGGACAGCTCATCTCTAGTATTTTCTCATCTGAGTCTACAAAATAGTAAAATTAAAGAGTATCAACTGGATTTTCTTAAGTACTTCAGTTTGATCACTGATAAAGTGTGTTAGCGACTCTAACAGCATGTGCAGAATACTCCTTCACACATAACCTTGTTTTTTGGGTTAGTTGGTCATGATGTTTAAACTCTGAAGTTTGTTAGCCTCGTAATGCATCTGGTGTTGATTAACAGAAACCAGAAAGTTCAGAACCTCCCAAGGGTCTGAATTTTGTAGCACCCTAAAATTTTTGTTTGGATAGGTGCTTAAGCTTACCTCTCCCCCTTGCATTAATGTCCAGTTATATTAACACCAGAGTTTAGCCCCTTTCCCTTTTTTAATGGCATGGAATTTCAAGACCTGTCTTCAATTACTTTCCTTTTATATAATCACTTTTCCAAGGAGTAGTTCTTACTTTCTTTTTGCAAGAGCTAGAAAGGCAAGAATTGCATTATCTGTGATTTGTCCTGTGATTTTTACCTTCTGAACACTCCATACAGTTGAAGGGGTTGGGTTCTTTTGTGTCACACTCTGCCCCAACAGCTAAGGTTACAGTCAGAGCACTGCAATTTTCTTCTTTTTAAATTGGAATCCCAAGGATTGCTTTTAAAAAGGCTTTCAGAGAAAAGTTCATTTATATTTTATGTGGGAGAAGCCAAGAGCTTCCTGTGCAGGAGCAGTTAGGCTGTGTGACAATGTAGGGCTTGACACTCATTTCTTCAGAGCTGTTGCAGGCAGATGAGCTGTTAAGGCAGGTTTCTCTTCTGCCCCACGTAGCTGCCAAGTGGACGTCCTTCCGCTTCTCCTTCCGCCACGTCGATGCGGCGGTTTGCCGGTGGCCTGCAGCTTCACACCACAGATCTTGATGATATAAACTTAGACGAAGTGGACAAGCCTAAAGAGCGTGTGGCACCACCTCCACCACCTACTGTTACTCCAGCAGCAGCAGGTCATCCACTTCCTGTGGCAAATATTCCACTTCCAAGAGGTCCAGCCCTGGCAGTAAAACCAGCTTCCCAGGTGACCTCATGGTCTGTTTGGATGCATGCCCCTTTGCCGTTCCTCTGCTTGCCCTCCCTTCCCTGCTCCATAACCCACTGGATCTACCCATCTGTCACATGCAATGTTAAAAAAGAAAGAGAAGGTTTCATTGTTTCATAGTAGTGAATGCAGTCCAGAGGTAGGGGTTTGTAATTTTTTTAAGTCCAGAGGGTTTTGTTCTCCTTATGTGTGATGTTAACCCACCACATATGAGTTTCTTGGGCAGAATGTACCAGTTAAAAAGACACTCAAGTATTTAAAGATTTTTTTTTAAAAAAAAAAAAAAGCAATGTCAAGTAGCAGATTTAACTCCTACTTAAATTTGAGAAAAATATCTGTGTAGTGGAAATGACTTGTGAAAATGTTTTAAATATGTCATCAAATTGCTTTGTTAGGTGAGAAAGGTGGGCAAAGAAAATTAGCTTAAAATCAGAAACTCAAACTTTAAAACCTCAACACTATATAAGTTACCAGCAAAATATTTTTAAATTAACAAGATCTGGTTATCAGTTTTTACTTTCCTTGCATACACAGGTGTTTAAGGATTTCTTTGAGAAAACATTTTGACTTGCTGCTTACTAGAATCACAGATCAAATATGAGAAATCTTAAGCTAGATCTCACTTTAGTAGAGAAATAGCAGCTGTTTCACATAATTCCCTTTGGTAAGCACTGTGGTGGGATTCATGTGCCCCTTTTTGTGGCAAAAGATTCATACTGGTTTCAAACAACAGAAGAGACTCTCGTATGGCCACTGTTTTCCCCACAGTTTTCTGCATGGATTGACTCTGACTGTATTGTTGGTTGTCATTTTTTTGTTTGGGTTTTGTTTTGGTTTTTTGCATGTTTACTTGGGAATACTGACTTTGCATTTGCATGATTCTGGTTGGGATGGGAATTTCAAATTAATCACTTCTCAGGGGAAGCTGGCAGATTATTTCTATGTAAATAATTACCTTAATGTGAACTCTGAATCTCTTCTTAAAAACTTCAGTGGACCTCTAATAGCGCTCCATCTATGTGGTGTATATGTCTGAATTGCCAAGAATATGCTAGAGCCACTGAAATGGAGATGTCAGATGATCTTATGGATAACAGGTTTTCCAAGTTATTTGCAAAACAAAATGTGAAATGACACAAGAGTACAAAAGATTTCTGTTCAGAGAAGAAATACATTCTGCTGAAGCCAATAAAAAATACTCAGATAAGAGGTAATATGGAAAATGCCACACTGGATCTGACCCCAAACCCGTGTATTCCAATATATGTTGCTGGCAGTTTTAGGTTAATAATGAAAGAAAAGTACATCAGGTAACAACAACAAAATAACCTAGCCTTCAAAAATGGTAAGTCAGTTTTCCCTGGATATAATTAGTGTGTATGTGGAGATAAATAAGCTCTTAGTAAAGTATTAATACTGAGCCAAAGCTGCTTTGTTTATAAGTAGATAACTCAGTATACCTGATGTGGTTTCAGAAATGGAATAAGAATCAGAAGCTGGACAGTGTAACCTTGCTGCTTTTTAAAATGTCAGGTTTTTACACCACAGATAAGCAGAATCAGTGCATTTATTTGACTTCAGTGATTAAATATTTTGTGTTTATGCCTGCTAAAGACAAAAGCAGACAACTGTTGTTATCCTATAAGTTTACTTTTCAAATGTTTCTCAAACTGGTAAATCTTATCTATGTTTGGGGTTTTTTTTCCCCAGATCATTTAATTTGAAATTCAACTTGAGCAAATACCTAACAAAAGGAATGAAATCTGTGAACCACATTCTTGACAATTAAGTATTAAAATATCTGGTATAAATTTATCTATTTTTCAAAATTATTATTAGCTGTCTACTTCATATGAACCTGGTACTAAGTCTGTTACTGTTTAGGTTGTGAGAAACTCCTCCCACGTCGGAAAAATATCTTCTGTGTCCAGTAATCCACTGGTATGTCATGTGCTGTTAATGACTGTAGTTTTATGAACTTCCCACATAGTGCTAATGTCAAGGAAATGTGAAGGGTTTGACTTTGCATGGTTAATTTCTTTAGGATTCAGCATTTGCATTCATGTGCATGGAGCCTTTGTTGTGTTACAAGATAGCTAATACTGGGTAGTGGAAATGGCTCCTAATGGTCTGAGGACTTCATGTTTCAACACTTCAGCAACATACAGTCCATGTTTGCATGTTCTGGATGTGTGTATGGCATGGAGTGTATAATTTGTTCTTTTGTCAAGACAGAGTAAAAGAGCTAGGACCAACCTATATTTTAAAGAGCTAAGAAGCAAGCTTTCTTCTCAGAAGACCTAATGTTGGTTTGGTAACTCTTTGCACTGATTCTGATTCAGGATGGCCAGGTACCAGGTTTCACCATTCTGAGGTACTCTAGAACTAAAGTCTGTCTCTAAATTATGCAGCTGCAGGAGAAATCATCCAGTTTTAGTGATATGTAGGAACCTGCTGGTTCTCTGAAGATCAGAAAGCTTAACAATATGATCTAATTTGCAGTGTGAAACAACATCAGTTGAGGAATATCCACAGGGACTTTCAAAGATCTGCTTTCAAAACTTTTTCTAAAAAAAAAGGCACTGCAAAATTTCCCCTATTATAAAAAAAATACTTAACCAATTTGCTGGAAGCCATTCAAATGATTTCAGAGGATACAACTTGTACTACACAAATGATATCTGGAATACACGCATTTCCTGTGAGAAACGTTGACAAGAGTGTGCTGGGAGTTGCTGGGGTTAAGTCAGAAACTAAACCCAGAGGACTCAGTTTTGAACTCTCTTCTTGAAAAAAACTATGCTTGACGTCAGTGGGGGTCTTGACTGGGTAAGAAGTGTGCAGTCGGGCTAGTACGTGCTGGATGATTAGGTCTTGGATGCCTCTGTGTATCTGTACTTTGTCAAGTCAAGGGTAGGTGATTAGCATAAGTAACCCTTGCTCTTAAGTCATGATAAGTTGACTTGAAATTCTTTATGGAAAGCTGATCACTGCAGTCCTGGTGAATTTACTCTTAAAAGACCTATTTAGCCATAGATTAGTCAAAATCTCATTTCATATTCACTATGGTCTTACACAACTTTAGCATTTTTTCTGCTTGTACTTTCTCATTCAGTTAATTGCTTTCATGAGATAAACGCCAAAAGCAGGGATGATTTTTTTCCATAATCTTGCTGGTGAAGTCAGGGTTTAGGGGGAAAAGCTAATATGTGGATGAAAGAGAAATTGTTTTGGTTTGTTGACTTCTTAAGAATTAGTTAAAATGATTCTGTAATCATTTTGTTGTATTTGTGCCATTAAGTTCACTACCATAAACTATTTGAATTTAGACATCTTGGTGAAATGATGGATTTGCACAAATAACATTGTGAATTGTAATTTTCTGAAATTAACCCCATAGCAACTTGCTCCAAGTCCACCTACCCAACGACATCCAGGGGTACCAATAGTCTCTAAACCAGTCATGCTGCATCCTGACCCAAACTTTATGGTCAGGCCAACAATCAAATCAGAGGCCCTGGTAAGCCCTTTAGTGTTCTTTTTCTGAGCATTACAGTACTGTGAGATATGTTGTTGACTTGTCCACAAAGAACCAATGCTTCTTTCATTTTCTGCTAACTAAAATTAATTTAGATTTTCAAGTGATCACTAATGGTAAGTATAAAATGGTTGTTTGGTTTGTTTGTTTGTTTTTTTCCCCATGATCTGAAAGTCACCTTTAGTGATAATTTTTGTATTGGGATGCATAATTCCAGAGCAGCGTAGAGCCTTAAACTCTGTAGCTATTATTTTTCATTTATTTGCATGCTGGGTCTTATTTTCATAAATTCTTAATTAATTTGTTGGAAATTAAATAGTAAAAACTAATTACACTGTATTTTTCCATTGTAAATAGTCATGAAAAAACATGCATTATAGAAATATACCTCACTGTTTCATTTCCAGAGGGGAAAAAAGTGTGTTGTGTCATGGACTCCAGTATACTGGTCAGGCAGTGTTACTGTGAAGTTGACTGACAATCACGTTCTTTCTCTTATTTCTTTTCCATTTCTATTACAAATGTAAATGGGGAAAAACCTCTTGGGTTAAATATTACACGACCAGCCATGTAGCATTTTGGGAAATGGTGATATGTGAGGGAAAGTGAGCCAAGGCTTACTGGAAAAAAAGAAATACAGCTCTGCCAGGTGATAATTCCCAAGTGACAGCCCTCAAAATTCATCTAAAAGAGCTGGTGCACCAATGGGTAGTATTTATTCCTGAGGGTCATCATGACTACTGCTGTTAGTGTGTGCTCTATGCGTGGTGTGGATGGGTGTCTGTATATTTATGAGCAAGGCAGTGGACTGCAGTGTGAGCTTCCTAAGAGATGGGAAAAACGTCACACTGGCATTTCATGTACTTCATTGCAAGCTTGGGCTGTATCTGACATAGATGATGTGCACAGTATTCCCAGATGTCTTTAAGAGTGCAATGGTTTTGTTTGATATTTTCTGCTTTAGTAATTCCAATATTTTTGTTACTTTATTTTCCCAGTTAATTTCAACAAATTTAAGTGATACTTAGTAACTAGTTTTTCCACAGACAGGGTTGTCTTAAATCTTGTATATTACAAATGGATTGAAATTATGAATGAAAGCAGATTTTATAAGTTTCTCAAGAGAAGGCAGGTACACAAACTAAAAATAAATTCAAAACTCTCAAGTATAGGTATTTTCTTCAGTCGTATGTATTGGAGCTTTCATTTTGATTGTGCTCTATAATTCAGCAGCTATTCCTTACTGGAAGAGTGAATAAAGTAAAATTGTAACCTGCAGTTATAGCTCTTGAAAATAAATACCTGTTGTGAAACTATAAAAGTTTGCAGAACTGTTAATACCCTTATGAGAGATCAGACAGTTTTGGTACGTGCGGAAAGAGTTAATTGAGTTTTTTTCTTGTGGTGTTTTTTTTTGGCTATTTTTTTGTAACTGCTCACTTAGTTTGAGAAATAGGCAATAAGATCCACCTCCATAGGGAAATTTCTTGGGATTTGTCATGCATACATGCGCATTTTCCAGATCACAAGTCTACTAAAATGTTTGTGATGTCAATCTTCTTCATTCCCAAACTGCCTTGTGTTAGTTGGGATATAAAAATCTCAGTGGGAGCAATATTCTGATAGGACTTTGAGAGAAGCATCAATCTATACATTGCTTTTGTAGACCTTTTACCTCTTACTTCCATTTATGAGTTAATGCAATAGAGTACTCATCCTCACTGGAAGGAAGTGGCAGTAGTGCGTAGTGGAAGACTTACGTGGGTATCAAAGTAGAGAGAGAGACTGCTTCTGTTAGTTAAAAAAGGAAGAGGCCAGATCATGACAAAACAGACAAGGAGGTACCTGCCTGACTCTAGAAAAGTATAAGAATTATAATATGATTTAATGTGGAAGGAATGGAGGTTTTTTCTTTGTTTGCAGAGGCAGAAAGGGGGGGAAGATGTTGTTCCTTATACAAATCAATGCTTCAGATACAGGACCAGTTCAGCTTCTTGTACCAAAGGGAAGTATCACCAAAGGAAAAGTATCTTTTGCTACCCCTTTTCTTGCCTTGCTAGATTTCACGTACCTTATAGAACACCAGTCTTTGTCTTAATATAATGTAATGCACATATTTTCTTCTACCTTGTTTTTGACTGAATTTAGCTGCCCTGAGTATCAAACTCTAGACATTGATCATGATGGATTTACTTGATTCAAACAGCTTATTAAGTGAGCCTGTACTTGAGCAATTCAGTAATAATGATGAAAAGCATGAACATAATAATAATAAAGTAAACATGGAAGAATAGGTAAAACTTTCCTGTTATCTGGAAGGTAGTTGTGCCAGGTAGGAGTGATGAAGTTGCTGTTGTGACTTAAGTCCATGTTAACTGAATTCAGGACAGAATTCCCAGATCTTTTAACGGTTGAGGAAAATTAAATTGTTTTCACTTAAAAGTAGAGAAATGATGGGTGAGGATTAAGCTTTGAGTGTGGCCTTGATTGTGGCTGCTATAGGTCTTTATCAGCATGAGCTGTTTGTCTCTGCTGTACTAGAGTGAATTGGAATATGTTCATGGCAAAGCTAATTAAATTTTGGCTCAGAAAACAGGAGAGGATTGTTATGGTTTAGTGGTGTGGTTTTCAGAGAAGCAAAACCAAGATGAACATTAGTCTCTGCTCTCCCAACTATCACAAACATCCTGTTCTGTGAGTTAGAAGGCTTTTGATGCATTTGTGGCTGCTAAAGAGTTTTCCTCCACCCCTTTGTGGTTGGATGCAGCATTTCTGAAAGGATGAATGAACATTTAAGTTTTTCCTCTAATTTGTAAGACTTGAAGCCTGATTCCGCAGGACTGCAGTAAAGGGACCTGAGACAGGTGCTTAGATACTGTGTGGTAAGATGTGTGATGATTGGAAACTTCAGTTATTTGCCATAGCTATACCAAAACCATCTGTGCTGAAAAGGAAATTTTTTATATTTTTTTCCTAAGGGCTAGAGAGAGCTTAAGAGTTTTTGGAAAATCTTATCAGACATGCCCAAAAGTCCTTAAAGACAAAAACTCAGTCTTTGTATTAATAAAAGATAAATATCTTTTATCTTTTATCTTATCTTTCATAAACTCAAGAACAGGTATACTTTTCCAAGTAATGGTATGACTACAAGACGCTCTCAGTAGCAAAACTGATAGATAGTAATTTGTACTAAAGCAAACTGAATTTGCAAATACCATAGTTCAGTCAGTAGAAAGTTGTTTCAGAAGACTCAAATACGGTACCTGATTTGATGCAGGGTTTTGAGTGGAAATTGGAGAGGTGTGAGGAGTGTTTTTTATAGCAATTTTTATATATAATATCAATTATTATAATACATATAATTTTATAGCAATTTTTTAACCCATTTTATTTTTGAAAATTTTTGTAACTTTACAAGAGCTTCTGTTTTTTAAGTGTTTGCAAATTACAGTGTACTGTTTTGTTAATGCAGTAAAAACAAAAGAAAACCAGAATCAAACCAGAATCAATATGGGGTTAAAGTCATTGAAGCCCAACACAAGAAAATCCAATGGTTATTAATCAATATTGTGAAATTACTTGTAGGTAGCTAAATCAATGCAAGACCACTCAGAAATAAGTAAAATTCAGGAGGATTTTTTCTTTAAGTAAAAGGAACATGTGCTAGTAACTGCTATCTAGGTAATATTTTTTTTTCAGGATGAGCCCATATACACGTATCGTTTCCTTCAGCTTATTAACTTCATGAGGAATTTAATAATGGAGTTCACCTTTCAGAATAGGAAATTCTTGGTAGGAGAGCAAATCTTAAATGTCTAAAAATTTTTCATGAATTTTCAATATTTTGGAAAGTACATTTCTAACATTTTGTCTGTTTTCTTTTTTTTTTCCCCCAATTATTTTTTTCCAAAGTAATGGCCAAGAGACACCAGCACTGTTCTGTAGAAACTGAGTCGTAGAAAATATTTTTCAGAAATCTTGTGGTATGGAAATGTGCATTGTTTATGTAATTCTCTAAAATTATTTCCTTTCTGTATTCAGTATTATTTCACTGCCTGTGTTCTTTCGTTTTGAAATGGTATAGGGAGCAACCACTAACCAGTGTAAATGTGATACAGTCTCTAGAAGAGAAAGAAAAAGCAGATTATTTGTGAGTAGGTGATACTTATTTACAGCAAAAAGTTAATACCTGGTTTGGCAATTTTCTTTCTTTTGCAGCCACAAGAGATGTTTAAAAGGATGGTGGTTTACAATTCATCATTTAGATCTAACAAAAAACAAGTAAAACAACATTTTCCATGTTTTGTGTGGTACTTCTTTTGAATTTTCATAGAATTAAAACTTTCCTTTCTAATCTTGTTGTTTGGTTTCTAAAAGAGAGGGTGCAAGACAGCCCTAGGGCATGAAAACTGCTAGTCTTTGTGACCTCCCAGTGTGTGTGTGTGTGGCTCCTGCTAGTCTAGAGAGATGAAGAATGAGGGGATAGTAAATCCTTCAGGCTGAACCAGCTGTAACTAATTCTATGGTTAGTGCAATCTTTAAGGCAGTTGAACACTAACTGATCTGATACTGGCAATTTAAAATATTTTTTTATTACTATAGATAGTCCTAATGTTTCCTTGTTTCTTTTAGTCTCCAATTGCAGTGCTTTCAATAATAAAATATTTTCTTAGTTTAACAAATAGACCTTTTGTCATAGCATAGTTATTGGTGGGAATAGGAGAAAAGGGTGGTGTGAAGCACATGTTCATATAGTCTTGCTGTATTGTGTAGGATTTTTCTGCTGTGTTACTACTTCTGTTCCTTTCCTCTGTCATAGTGAACTGTCATCTCTTCCTCTTTGGCTGACTGGTGATTCAGTAGATTGGCCTTTGAAGTGAACTTAATGTGCTTAATGTCTCTGCTGCTCTTAAATGTGCCAGGTTTTGTGCAAAACACCTTTATTAGTGCAAGCCAAGTTAGATGCATTGCCGTCTTATGTGCAAATGTTGGCATACAGTTGTGAGTTCACAGTGTGAGCTTTTGAGTGCTCAGCTGTGGAGATGAATAATCAATTTTTTCATCTTTTGATCCATTTCAATCGAAACCTAGAAGGGAAAAACGGGTTTGAGTGAGATAAACTCTGAGATTGTTTAGTTGCCATTGAATATTGGTATGTTCTGTATATATAACAGTTGTGTTCTCAGCAAATGTGATTTTTTAAATTTTTTTTTTGTATATTTGGGTATGGGTTTCTCAGTCTTGTATATCAGTCAGTTGCCAATTATTATTGACTGTTGATGCTAGAAACTTCAGTGAGCAGTATCATTGGCTTGGGTGCTTATGTTTTGTTTGGGGTTCTTTTGTCTTTTTTTAATAACTTTACCTTTCATCTAGAAGTCCAGACAGTTGTTTCCATGCAATCAAACATTTTCGTGTTCCTCGTTCTACTTATGTTTTGTCATATGAATGTTATTGTAAGTCAAGAAAGGATTAAAATGATCTTAACTCCTTCATCTGAGGTGTCCCAAGTAGTGGGAAGGGAGGCTTAGCACTGTGGTTTTCACTCATTGTTGCTTGATTCATTACTCCCTGCTTGGATATGGAGTTTCAAATTTGTGATGCCCAGTTCTGGGAAGATTTATGACAGTTCAGCAGACGTGTTCATTTTGTTATAGCTGTATATGGACATTATTGGATCCAGATCATATCACTTCTTTCTTGCAGGTTTTTTTGTTGTGGGGTTGAGTGGGTTTTTTGGTTTGTTTTGTGTTTTTTTTTTTCCTGTTAAAAAATTGTTTTCCCAGGAAAACTTTTTTCAAGGGCAACAGCTGTTTTTCATGAGGGTGACATGGGACAAAGAGTTCAATAACTTCCTTTAGATTACTTAATGAATTAGTGACTTGGCTGAGGCTGGAGTTCTTTCCTCTCAGTTGCTTGCTCCAAGACCACAGATCTGCTTCAGCCAGGATTCCAAAGGTCAATACAATTTCAGCTCTTCAAACTAATTGTTCAGGTAGCTATCATTGTAAAAACACTTCTCGTTCTAGTAAAACTGTTTGTAATATTAATACACTTTGTATATGAACAAATAACTGTGTGTTTTCCCCAGGATTAAGTTCTACCTTCAATGAATTCTGTGATCAAATTCCCATCTATGTAGTTCCTCAAAGTTAGCAGCTAACAAATGTAATGCAGCTCATACTATTTTAAATACTATATAAGGTCTCTCATGTTCCTATTACTAAAAGATGAACTTAATGCATATATGACTGAGAAGAAAAAGGAAAAAAAACAAAACCCAAAAAAATTAA